TATATATATATATATATATATATATAACTGTAGAACCCAATCTTTAGCTGGTTTGGCTAGGTTATAGGCAACAGAGCCATTTCCATACCGAAACAAAAAAGTCTTGCTTGTTATTAATGTGTGAAGTCCTTTTCTTTTTCCATAACCTAGTAATGCATTTACATTTTACTTTGTTAATACAAAATTCATTAGGAAAAGGAACTATATTATGAATGACACAGTGAATAAAAAGTTCATATAATTTAAATCAAATGTTGCCCAGCCAACCTTTGTTAATTTAGTAAAAATTCTTCTACCATAACTAACGTTCAAACAAGTTTTAGCGCATTCTCAAAACTGTCGCAACAATGTTCGCAGTCTTAATTATAAGACTGATTCAACTCGCAAATAATTAACTTTTATTTATGTTAAGTATATATAGTTTAATAAGCAAATGTTATACTATTAACTACTAATACATTGTTCTTATTTAGGTTTTAAGATTACTATACAAATTAAAAAGAATATAAGAAGGAATGCCTCAACATTTTACGTAAACTTCGGATCTAAAAGTGAGTTAGATCAACAGTGTAAACCCCATCTGGGCAAATCAAAGATAATATTTATAATTAATTGAATGATAATAATTTTTTTTGCACTGTCTTAAGTCATATAATTTTCTGTTTGTTATCCTCAATTTTGTTATATGGTAGTGTTAATTGTTTTAGGGCAATATCAAATACATAAATAAGATTTTGAGAAAGTAAATACGAAGAAAAATGTAAAATTTTTGAAGAAGAAACATGATTTAAATTTAATAGGAGCAATAAATTAAATGATGTAAAATATTACACAATAGTTATTTTTGGATATATAGCCAATGCTTCCTGATTTTAATTAAAGTTGCTGTCAGTATCTGTGTAAACATTAATTAATCTATCTTTTTAGCCAGGTAAGGCTATTCAAAAAGATACTTCTCAGAATAAAGATGATTGTATCTCAATTCTATCCGTCGGTACAAAGACAATCTATAAACATTTTCGCATGTTTGGGCGCGTTTGTTTATATTTTTGACGAAATAAATGTTAATTGTAATCTATATTCAAAATTGTGAATATTTTTTTTTTTCAACAATCAAAACTAGAAAGGAAAAGAGATCCAAATGCGTATAAATTATTTGTGTTATTTTTCATGCGAAGAAGTTGATATGAATAGGTCTAATAATGGTAATTATTATATTGGTATGCACTATTTACTACTGCACTAGAGAGGTAAAGCTTGACCTAAAAGAGAAGAAAATTTGAATTGTTTGTAAATAGTTGATAGTACAATTATCGGGTTTGTAAACTTTAAAGGTTAATTTGGTTTGGTGAAAGAATGATTTGATTTAATTTGGTTTGAAAATTCTGGTGGTAGCGTACTGTTGGTTGGTCTCATGTATGCTTAGAATTGAAAGGTGTTGAGATTGCATCATTTAAGAGCTACCCCACGCTTCAAATGAATTTGTCAGAAAACTTTTTTACCTCTAATAGATATCACCATAATCTGATTTTGTAGTACCACGATTGGCAACAGGTATTCTTCTTCTCTCCACGTTTTCATCAATAGAATCCAAGAAGACTGTGAAGTTTTGAAGTGTGAAGTAGTTTTAACGTTTTATTTGCGTTGGTCGTGGTCTGAACATGTATGCAGTTTGCTAATTTGTTTCATTTCTGTCCTTAAAAATATAAGTATAGTTAAAGCTCTTGGCTTTTGTTTCCAGTTTACATTATTAAGCAGTACACATAAATGCAATGCACTTTCTGTCGTAATAGGAAAGGTAACAACTTTTCAATTTAAATTTTGACTGCTTGAAGGTGATGAAGACAATTTCCTCAACTGGTTTGTAAGTTTGCCTTGCTAGAGTTCTGAACACGGAAGTAATGTTTGTTGGATTTACTGCTTAAATTGGTGAAGGACCACTTTAAAGGTAATCATACATAGACACACACTTGCAAGAAAAAAATTCAGATAGTTGGGGCGCGGTCATATTGCATGAATCTTTGGGTCCAGGTTTTTAAAAATATGAAATGTGTCTCGCAACGTTTTCTTCTTAGTACCAACCAGCTAGTCAAGGCCAGCTGCAGTAGTGTGGTCCATGAATCACCTGATTTTAATGCCTAGCTAGCCCTCTTATTAGGCAGTGTCATCTTTCTCCTTTATAACCATTTCAGGTGTGGTGGGGGAACCTCTCACTTTGTGGACAACAGGCCATATCTCTAACTATTCTTTCTTTTTGCCATTTCACATACATCCTGCTCCAAATCAAGAGGCACACCTTAATTACATTCAACAACGTTAATTACCTCAATCACCACCTAAACATCTGCTTAATTCAACCTCTTTGTTAACGCTATAGCTACTTTTTTTTTATGTGTACATATGTGTTTGGTGCGGTGTTTAGATTCTCAGAACTGTTTCAACTTTTAAAAAAATACATATGTATATGTATGAGTAAACTCCACAGCAGTTGTCAATAGCCCCACCACCACCGTTTAAAAAGTTAATTAAATGCTTCTGGGTATTAATTTGCAAAACATGTAAGCTAGCTCACTACTTAACTGTCTTATTAAGGAATCACTTAGAGACTAAGAGAACAGAGAATATAATGATGAAAATGATGAAAACATAAAGAAATTTGAAATCCATTTGTTCACTTTCTTCATGCACATCTATTGAAAAGGACTATGTATATGTAATCTATGAGATATAGCAACTTTCAAAGAATAAAACAATAAGTGGGGGTCGAGTCTATCCCAACTTAGATTGCAAAAAACCCTAATGATAGATACTGATAGCAACCCTTCGTGGATGCAAGTCTAAGTCCCCTGGATAGAATTTTACACCCAGAAGGAGGCATTGAGCTATTGTGGACCATACACGACCTGTTCTCAAACATCCCCCTCTTTAAGCACAATAACCACGCTAAAATGTCTACGTACGCTATGCCTTGTCTTGCTTTCTTTCTGGTATAAATGTCATCTTTCATTCTTAGGGCAACCTTTAATGCTCAAAGATTTGTACTATACATTTGATTGCCATCCTTTGTTGGTAAACATTTTCTTTTCGAATATTACTTAATCATTTTTTTCAATGCATTTGACTGAAATTATTTGAATATTTTTGAACCCTTTGTTGCCAGTTCTAGCTAGGGCAAAAATAAAAGCAAAAATAACAACAACTAGAGGCAGAAGCATCTATATAATTATACAATATCCACTACAAAACTCATTTTCTTTCTATCTATCTTTCTTATCGTATAATTCATTTTTATATTCATTTTTTCTCATACTTTGATATACAAATTGTTATATATATATATATATATATATATATATATATATATATATATATATATATATATTAATATCATTTCCCGGTGTATAAGGAATAATTAATACAAAAGCAACATGTTTCTGAATCACATATCTAGCCCTTCCTAATTGCGTCTGTCATTTCCCAAGTCTCAACCGAACCAGACGAAGCTAGCTAGCATTTTGCAAAAACCTGATTTAAGCCCCCCACTACCACACTCACGCTCTCCTTTTAAAGTCACGAGACCCACTGTCCCATTGTTCATTCAATTTTTTGTGTGGGGGGAGATAAAGAGAGAGAAAGAGAGTGGCAGAGGAACTGATAGAGAACTTTCAAAGCTCTTTATCTTCTACCATCACTCAACTAGCCTCTATATTGCAGTCTCAAACTGAAAGTCTAACATATTTTGTAAAAAGCTTTAGTTTTATCCCCTCATCTGAAAGAAAGAGTGTTTGCCTCACATCGTTTTTTTTCTCCTTTCTCTCTTTCTGTCTCTCTCTCTCTCTGTCGGTACCATGTAGGTCTTCTCCCGCTACTATACCTTCACACCCTTTTCTGATTCAGTATCTTCTCCTCTTTCTCCTTCTTCTCTAACCCTTTAACTTTCTCTCTCTCTCTCTCTCTCTCTTATGGCTTTGTTGTTTCTTTACAGGAGACCAGAAGGAAACCCGTTAGATCTTAACAATTTGCCTGATGAGTACTCTAGAGATGGCAAACAAGTCCTCGAAGACCATACCTCTTCACCGGGTAACTTGATCACCATACCTATACTATCACATACACGCTAAAACATCAGAGGAACATATTTTTTCTCTCTACTTTCCGAATTCTGTTTCAATATCACTCACCGTGGGAAGAAGGATTTCGCTTTTCACAGGAAACAAATTTTAACACTGCTGTGATTTGTTACCCACCACTTGGGTATATTCTTTGACTATGAAACAGTGCTCATCAAACTTTCTTTTTTTATTTGATTCTTGGTTTTTGTCGTTGTACGCTTCCTTATTCTTTTTCCTGCTATTCTTCTTTGATGGTAAACATCATGCAATCTGGAAAAGTAAAAAGAAGAAAATGAAATAAAGGGCAGTAATAGTAGTAGTTCGTCAGCAAAACTAAAAATACTTGTTTTTTCTGTGGGCGGTTAATTAATTAATTAATTAAATTTATGTGATGGATTTGGGTAATCGAGAATGGGCTTAAAGGGAAAGAAGGGTGTCATGGAAGTTGCTTTAATTGGATGGTTATGGTTGCAGGTTGCAGGAAAAAGAAAAGCGGCGGGAAGGATGGAAAAGACGAGTGTGGGAAGGTCTACGAGTGTAGATTTTGTTCCCTTAAGTTCTGCAAGTCTCAGGCTCTTGGGGGACACATGAACCGCCACCGCCAAGGCTAGTACCACCTATACTATTACCATTATTAACACTTTTCTTTTCTTTTTATTTTCTTCCTCTTTACTTTATCCTCTTTCATTCCACTCTTTAAACCAAACCATTCACTCAACCAAGTCTCTACTGCCCGTTAATGATTTGCTCATCAAAGGTTGTCATTTCAATCACAAAAAGTTGAGTTGTTTTGTTGGATCGCTGAAATTCTAGAGGGCTCTTTTTGTTTTTTCTTCGTTTTAATTCTTTGCTCTTATTTATTTATTTATTTATTTATCATTATTATTACTTGTTTTATGATTTTATTGGGCAGAGAGGGAAACGGAGACACTGAACCAGGCTCGACAACTGGTCTTTCGCAGTGATCATACCCTTACTGCACAAGGTGCACCTCACTTAGGGTATGTATACATGCACCATTACTTGTTTTTTTTTTTCCTTCTTACATTTTATCATTTGCTGTTTTTGTCAAATATTTGTATTTTGTTTTCTAGTTCTTTGTTGTCTTTCAATTTTGAAGAAGAAGCAAGGTAGCATGCAGACATAATATTAGGGTACACAACAGTGTTTGATATTGATAAAATTTACTTTGTGGTAATATTTAGATGCTGCCAACCGATAGGAACGGGTGGTTATCACCCATCGGGAGATCCATCGGCACCTCTGAGATTTCCGAGGTACTTCTCAGGTTCATCCTCAACTCACATGCCGCCAGCAGCACCGGCACCAGTAGCACCACAGCCATACCTGTATGCCTCACCTACAAGGCCAGTGTCTTTTGGGTCATCACACTTCCCTCATCAGCATGCGGTGAATGATTACTATGTGGGTCATGTGATGAGTGGGAGTCACGGACATTATGTGGGAGGAGGAGGAGGAGAGAGCACAAGTAGTTACACATGCATTGGTGCACCGGTGGGACAAGGCGGTGGGTTTGGCAGTGGTGGTGGTGGTGGTAAGGACGGGTCACTGCCACTGCATAATAATCAGGAGGAAGGTTTGAGTTGGGGAAGGGGGTATCCGGCTGGAGCACAGCATCGTTTGGATCCTCCGTCAGCGATCAATCGGTTTCAAGATGGTTTCTAATGAGATTCTTTCTGTGAAGGGTAGTGTTTTTGGTTTGTGTTATGTGGTATCATAAAGACACGCAATCCAGAGAGAGAGACATTACAAGCTGACACATGGGGTCACTAAGGTAGCTAAGCTAGGAATGAGAGAGAGAAAGAGAGGTGGTTTTGGTTTATCTACAGTAACCAGGGACAGCTTTTGAGCTCATGGACACCCTCAGCTACTTTGGCTTGGAGTTGTGGGGGTTAATGGCTGGGATTTCTTCTCTACATCGTCTTTTGTATTGGTACCTAGCTAGCTGGGACAACCAGTTAGATATGAACTGAAACTTTCAAAACCCCTTTTTGCATTTCTCACTCATTCACATCCTTTTGCATGACAAATTACAAACACTTCCCTTCTAATGCTTTTCCCTCATTATACTATATTATATAATACTAATATTTATCTATTTATTAGTACTTATACTTATATATATTTTGTTCTCTGTGTTTAATTTTGTGACAGTTTATTTACCATTTCAAAATTAATTCTCAAAAGTCCCGTCACTCTCTCACTCTTTCTATCCGAACCAAAATTGGGATCTTCTAGTTTCTTGAAATGTTTATAGTCTCAGTGTCACACCATGCTTGCACAATTAGGGTAATAAGGCAGAGAGGTTTTGGACTCCTCTTGCCAATAACCATCTTGCTGAATGCTCCTTGAATAGGATATTCAAACGATCAAACCTGTCAAATATAAAATTTCTTATTAAAGAAAAGTTTTATCTTCCTCCCAATTTTAACCATATAGTATAATGTAAATAATTTTGTACAAGTTTAAAATACATATTATTTATTGCAGCAGACAGTGAATGCAACTATATTTAATTTGTTTGGTACATACCGAACAAAACTACTACCCAAGGAATAAAAACACTCTTGTTTGTCAGCTCCAAGAGCTTCTACCAAATGCAGCAGCTTATAGAAATATATATATATATATATATATATATATATATATATATATATATATAT